CCCCGAACTTCACCCACAGGCCACAACTTCAGTTGTTTGTTCTATCATTTGTCCTCTATGACTTAGTAAGTTTGATCCCCACTTCTCCGGCTCTTTTCCATGTTCGATCCTCTGACGTTTTAGTCTGATTCCGTTGCCGGTGCTTGTCATTGTTGTGGCGACATCGTCTTTGTTGCGCTCTATGTTTGGTCTCGTGCCTGATGCTGAGTAGACGGGATTGTGGCTTGATAGGTACCGGTTATCGTATGGACCCGGCCGAGTAGACATAATGTCCTCTGTGGCATTCAGTGGTGACCTTGGTTCCTTGTGGGCTCGTACCAAACACAAAATGTTTGGTCTGCTATGTGAAGGCCTCATTCGTTTAGTCTTTGGTAGTCTACGACAGTTCATAATATCACCCGACCAACATATCCATATCCAGCACTACGTCGTTGTTCTTTGTCTACTGCAAACAGATTCCCCTGACCGCTATCAGTGAGCCAGATTTCCCCGTAGACTGCGGACGGGATGTTTCCCCGCTGTGATGTGTGACGTAGTGAAGTACATCAGCTGACCACACTCACACGAAACCGGAAGCGGACCGGACGTCGTAATTTCCGGCCCGCGATCAGCGTGGATGCGAAGAGACCGCATTTCCGAGACGATGAATCTTGTGGAAGAAATGACGCGCGATGCTACTAAAGCGGTCAGTCTTGTGTATAACACTACGTGAATTTATTAAACGGCCAAAGAACGCATTAGTTCTCCAATCATGATTTATATATACTTATTGTATGTAAGATAGGTCTCATTTCCTGCCCTTCTAATGCTCTCATCTCTTCCGTTCCCTGTTCTCATTTCTCCCTTTCATCAGTGTGCCGCTATGGGCAATCCCAGCGGTCATCTGGGGCCACGGCTGCTGCTGATTACCAGCCGAGGTACAGTATTGTTCCTCTCGCTCGATAGCGCTGGCACGTGGCGGAAGCTGCGTAGATCCTGGATTATAGCGGCTTTCGTGAGGTTGGAGTGACCAAGGGGGCCTTTTAAAATATCGAGGCGCAATGCATGCGTTTGACGTCTGTCGTTCAGCACCAAATACCCAACATTTTTTCCGGATTCGGCAAAAGATTGTCGAGGCCCAAACTTTACAATAACTCAGCATCAATTGATCGAGAAACGATAAACTGCTTCTACGCAGTCCTTCCGGTTTCGATCTCGCAGCCTCCGCTATTTCATCACTTCTGCGTCGTCGTTGTCTTTGTGTCAACTTTGCCGGCGTCTTCGCTCTTCACCAAACCACGCGCCGCCGTTATCTTGGACGCACCATGGATGAAGTATTCCTATACCTAATCCATGGACGCACCACGCGCGCTGCCCGCCCCCACAGGGCTCGGGCACCGGCAGAGAAGGAGTGCCTTTGTTCGCTCTTCGACCGGCGCGCGGTGGTAACAGCTGGTCCAGTCGGTCCCTGGGTAAGGGAGGGGAAGGGGGATGGGAAGTTATGTCGACGGTGAGCTGGTAGAACACCATGTGTCGAACACACGTGCACTAAACGTTGGGGAGGATGGGGGAAGAGCAGGGGTCTGCATCTGAATGGGAGGGGTGTTGTTTGGGTAGTGGCCACACTGAATGAACACTTTGGGCTTTACGGAGTCACGAACACAAAGGAAATGCGCGTGGCCGTGCATGTTTTGCCTATAAATGATCTCTTCTTACATTGGCTCTCAAAACATTATTTTGATGGTAGCATGAAATCGATTTTATATGTTGTTCACCCAGCTGCTGTTTGTTTTAAAACTACAAATATCTTTCACTATTGTGTAATTTTGCCTGCTGCATGGCGTCGTCATATGGCTAATGACGCTGAACATCTATTTTTGATCCTCGATCTGTCTGAATTCCAGATATTGTCTTCTCAAATTCCGTCCACTTTGCGTTATTTGGAACTAGAACAGAACTATAACAAATCTCATCGCCTAATTTGTGTTCCAGTTGGATTGCTTTATTAGCATCGATTGAGTCTCTCGAATGGACAAATGGTAGCAATTCGAATGCTCCTGTATTCGGTCTAGTTGGGCAATTTATCACAATTTGCAGCTCTATTTCGGTCTCACCAACGGCATTGGTTTTGCTATCGGATGGCTGTGACGCACGCGAAAAGGTAATTGCATTACAATGCTCACCTGTTCTCGACATTAGTGCAATAACATGCCGCCAACACATCGGCTCGTCGGTGTGAAACTTGAGCGGATGTCTACGTTCGAAGGATATTTGTAGGCATGTTATTCGTGTTGGTTCATCTTGTTATACTCCACTGTTCTTTCTCTCTATGGATCTGACTTCTCTGGCCACGGATCTGACTCATTAGTACACGAATATGTTTGACCAGTTGTCGTATCTGATTCATGAGGCTACGCAGCTATCTGAATTCATGTGGTCACGGATTATCTCGTGATCACGGCCGATTCGTGTTTTCTGATCACGAAGTGGTCATGAGCTCCACTTCCCACTCCGTCAGTATTCATGGACCCCCAACGGGAGATCGCTTCGATGACCTGCAGAGATCAGCTCGTGACCCTGTCGATCAGATGGTGACCTCTGCGGACCAGCGCATGACCTCGCAACCTCCTAGGCGTGGCGTCGAGCACCTGTTTATGCTAATGTATTCAGCTCGGCTGGGTTCGTTTCCTGGTCGTGCCAGCGGAGGTTAAACCGAGCTCAGTCAGCGACTGCTTAAGCATTCAATGGAGTTTTGAAGCTAAGACGCACTCTGTCGTTCTGAATTATACGGTATTGTGTGGAAAATGGCGGGGAAATAAACCCCACCCGGGAAATTGTACTGGAAGTGAGCTCACTTAGGAACTAATGAAATAGTCTCCGTCGACCGTCACTGCTCAGGTTTAAGGTGACGATGGTCTGCGAATGTTGTAGCTTGCGAATGATATCCGCCTTATTACCTACCCTTTCCGTTTCCACCTTTTCAAGAAATGAGTTAGTTATTTTATCAGTGAATTTATTCACTTTTTGGGATATAAAGTAACGGCAACTTTGCTATGACTGTCTAGGGAAGAATTCACTTTGGGCAGCTGAGCAGAGGACAGCTAACATTCATGAGTCTGTCTTTGTTCCGATCCTCCCTAACTATACAGAACTTGTGTTCGGATTTGGGCGGGCCGGTCGAGAATATGTGGGAAGCCACAGTCCAAACCCAGCCCTGTCGACCCGGTACGGCTTTACCTTCGTTTTTATCACCGTTCTTTTGGGCGGATCGGTTGGCAGCTCCGCTGTCTGATTCCGGGGAGAGGGGGTAGAGGGAGGGTCAGGAAGGGAGCGGAGAAACCGGAGGTCATGGAAGGAGGTGACGGATGGCAGTCGGATATGAATGATTCTGCCACTTGTCGATTGTGGATAGCTGCCTCGGGCCCTTGCGGTGCCCCTGGACTCGTACCCAGCCGATGCCGGTTTTTTTCACGGCGTATCTTAGATCAGCGAGCTCTGTGTAAAGACACTGTGCTTGCCTGGGTTTTGAATGTTGATGCTGCTCTTACTAGCGAAACACCGTTGTGATCCGATTTGTGTGGATATGATTCATTCCACAGGCCTCTAGCTTAGGGAAAAGTTGATGTTCTGAAGGTATCGGACGTCGGTCATGAAACGTCTGCTTTTTATACGAATATCCAAACGTGATTCAGAGACTCTTCGAATTTGTTTCGTTAGTTTTTTTTTTCATGTAGCCTTTTTGCTGGGATGTAACTGTCTACCAACTGTAACATCCTCCGGAATGAAGGGCAGCTTTGGCAGTCATTTGATCCCGGATCTATCCGTATACTTACATCCCGATATCTAATTTTCCACACAGACCGCGTAGGCGGTCCCATGATCCAATGGAAAGGTCGCCGGCTAGACATCCACTAATTACCATTGATTGCTCGGTAATTTGGTCCGTAATGGCACTCCAATTGTTTCGCATGGCTGACTCAATAGCATCAGGGCAGTCTTGACGTGGGGACTGGGGTATTAACGTTATACGGGGACGATGATTCGCTGTTTCTGCTACTATGATAAGTAAGCACTTGATGTAATCATGGTGGCTTTGTGAAGATTGCCTCAAAAGACGGCTTCCATTATTGGTTGTTTGTTACATTGAATAAGTGAAAGCAGTAATAGCTAACAATCCCCAGATCTTTGAGGCAGCTGTGTTTTTCGTATTTTAGCTTCTCTTAATTACCTATGTTTTCCTTCTTTCTCCATTTCTCGTCTTTTAATCTTCCTCCTATCTCTCCCTCCCTCCATCCCTCTCTCTCTCTCTCTCTCCCTCCTCTCTTTCTCTCTCTCTCTCTCTCTCTCTCTCTCTCTCTCTCTCTCTCTCTCTCTCTCTCTCTCTCTCTCTCTCTCTCTCTCTCTCTCTCTCTCTCTCTCTCTCTCTCTCTCTTCTTTGGATGTCTGCCAGTTGGGAGGCCCCCCCCCCGACCGTCAGTTCCAATAGCCGACGATTGAATTGTGTTGGCTGTCTGTTCCGATCGCACAAATGGACTTGGAAATGGAAGAAAATTGAACAGGACGCTGGAGATATATCGAATGGAAGTTATTTCTGATCGCCTTGTTGTTGAGTGTCTGTGAGAGAAACTGACGGGCAGTGTAATCCTCAGCTTGTATTAAGCTTACAGTTGACCTTTTCTGAACATGCTGTTTTCTTGGAGCTGTGGAGGAAGCTATTGACACTGACAAGGGCTCAGTGATTTTGACCTTAATGATGTAGCAAACCTGTTTTTGAACCCATGTGCTCGTTGTTTATGCAGTGTTTACCCACGCTTTTACTCTTCTCGCATGACAGGAACTTGCTAAACTTAAGAAACTGTCCAGTGCTTAGAACGTCATAACTAATGGGCCCCCACAACCTACTGATCATTGAATTTTACGCAGTTTTTGGTTTATTCACGTTTTTCGTCTCCACCACAAGCCGTCGCAAACCATTCTAGCCTCTCTCATCTCTAACGCCCTTCCCCTTTCTCTTCCACCAGATCGCCATCAGCTCGAGGTAGCGCACAAGGCCAACAACCTGACTGAGACGTTCGTCCAGCTGGGTCTGCGCGACTGGCCCACCCTGCTGAATCATCACCTGGGGTTCGCCATTCTAGCCGCACTGGGTATCCTGGTGGCGGTGCTCACACCGTTTGTTGGTAAGTGACGGTCGTGGGAGGTGATGGCAGGAGGTGTAGTGGTATGTTAGAGCTAGATTTTGTAGTTGGATGTCAGATATTGGCTGTTGGGTCAGATTTTGAATATGAGCTGCAGATAGAGGGGTGGGGATTGGAGGGGGATGAACTGAGGCGTTACGTCTGTTGTAAATTACAGGGTTTTTAACTGTGTTTATTTTACATAGATTTCACATGGTGTACCATTTACAGTGGATACAGTATGCTTAGGCGTCGTATTAGAATAATGTAGTCATACATTTCTTCCCTACTTGCTGATGGCGCCTGCCGGAGTCCCTTTAAGTTATAATCTTATAGCATTAGCTGAATAGCTGCCCAGCGTTGTGGCTATGGCGGTAGACCAAGTTAAAATTATGTTTAGTTTAGGCGGATGTGATGTTTTGGCGATTCACGGACTGGGCAGGATGTGTGAATCAATTAAAGGAAATAGTTCACTTTTTAACATGGGTTTTGAACTGGAATAGCAGTTCCGTAGCCTGGGCTGAGACGAGCATAAATCAGGAGCTTTTACAGCCCAACGATCACCCTAGGCAAATATATTCTATTTCTCGTCCCGAAAAATGTGTCTTGCGTTGAGGATGTGTGCCTTGCATATATTCGCATCCAGTATGAAACGAGCATGGGTACCGAAAATTCTTCAGAAACTAGAGAAATTATCTACGAGAACTCTAGAGAAATTCTCGTACTGATCAATAAGGACATTCAGCAGCAGCAGATCGCCCAAATGCCGGTGGCCGCGATCATTTCTCTAGTTTCTGAAGAATTTTCGGGACCCATGCTCTTTTCATACTGGATCGCCTGTGCCTTACAGAAACTGAAAAGTTCTTCTTATTATCAAAATATAGAAAATAATCTTTTGTTATAAATAGGTTTTATTTTCTTTGCTGATCATTTTGAACATAAAAAATCATAAATCCATTGCAAAAAAATAATTTCGTGAAAGTGAACTATTTCCTTTAATAGGAGGTGCCTGTGTGGCCCCGCGGGTCTTTGATATTATCGGTTTGTTTATTTATGCGTGGATCATGCAAGGCTTAATCTTTGACCCTGTTATCTCCGTTTAGACCACGTTTGGATTCCTATAATGACGACTGACCGCGGGCTTTCCTTCTAACTCCGCCCATTTTTTGAAACTATTATCCCCTGTGTGGTCCCTATTAGGTCTATACATGTAGTTCCCCTTTGGCTATCCCTGTGGGTTCTGCGACACCTGAGCGAACGTCATTTCAGCGAACGACATTTGAGCGAAACATTTTCAGCGATTATCAATTTAAGCGATTGGCTTTTTCAGCGATTGTCAAGTCGGCGAATTCAATCACAGCGATTATCAACTTTAGCGAGGACCAGAATCAGTGAAACCAGATTGAGCGAATATATGGTGGTCAGTGGGAGACCAATTGAGCGATGCAGTTAGAGCGAATGACCGAACGTGACGAAAGTCAGTCATTTGCTACTTTTCGGAAATCATTGCACCTCTTTACGCATCATTTGAATGTTGAAGACACATATGTACATCGGACGACCAACAAGGGGTGCATGGGAGGGGAAGGAGGCGGGCAAAATTTGAATTGAAAATGTGGAACGTGAGAGATAGGGCGACGGAAGGAATGCCAAGGACCAATAATAAGCTAGAGAGATGGGCAATTCCACGACAAATCACCTAATTTTTTTCCAATTGTTCACCATGACCTCTCCGATTTTGCTCAAATTTGGCATGTAAGTTGACCTATGGGCACTACTTCGTCCCAGTAAATTTTTAGTCTCTAGGTCACAGGGGTCATGAGATATGGGTCATGCAAATTTTTAGGTTTTCCGGAACATTGAAATATAAAGTATTTTTTATCTCCGAAACGGTTCACCGGATCAAAAAAAGTTATATATGAAATAAGAAGCGCAAAGGCTGGTGCGTCTAGCAAAAATGTGAACGAAACCCCAAGGTCATTTTTTGACCCTTTGACCTCGTGACCTTTTCTTGACCCCGTGACCTTTCAAATTTGTCCTATTTTAAAAATTCTGATTTTTTCTATCAGAGATGTCTTATCCATGCTCTTAATACTGGTATGTGATTTGGTTGGTATATCGGACCCGTTGACCTCAAACTGAGGTCAACAATGTGGTCATGACCTGACATGAAAATGACATCTGCCGAGAACGTCGAGAATCATAGGCAATATGGGTGTCATATGAAAGCTTACTTCACGGAGAATGCATTGGTGGTGTTTTTGAGTAGGTATGGGCCGGGTCAAGGTCACATTAGGTCAGTGACCTAACACAGCATTGTGTTCTTTGAAGGTGGCGTATTTAATTTGTTTGGTAAGCCCAGTGATCAGCACACAATAAAAAAAAGGAAACAAAACGTCATAAAACATCGTCTGTCTTTATTCAAAAAGCACAGATAAAATGCATTCACCCATATACACACACTCGCACAAACACACGCACATACATACACCTTGTTCGAGGAAGATCTTTCAAACAAACCTCAGTAACACACGCGGTGTGAAGAACGAGTCTTAGAAGACTAGTAGAGCTTGAAGGCTGCTATGGTGTGGGAGTCGAGCGGTACAAAGCGGTGAAACGTCCTGGTACACTCGGGGGCAGATTGATGTTCCACCACTCCCTACCCATCGGGCTCCCATGGATCAGCAGTGGCTGCTGCCAGTGTTGCCTGCCCTCAGCACTGCTCAGCACTGCCTGCCAGTGCCAGTGCTGCCAGTGCTGCCACTGGCAGCAGCCAGTGCTGAGCCATGGGAGCCCGATGGGTATAGGGAGTGGTGGAACATCAATATGCCCCCGAGTGTACCTACTACCTACCCCTCACCGTGCGGGCACTTGTGAACCGTTCTCTTTCATTTTCGTCTTCGTTCCTGCTATTTGCGTTGCCGAAACGAAGAAGAAATGCATTTTATCGGTAAGGTGGTCCTCACAGTATTACCAATACCATCGCATGCGCTTTTGCCATGCGAGGTGGCAAAAAAATCCACTCACATTGAACACCGAAATCCTCGGCATGATGACATATATTTGCAAAATTGTATTTGTTCTTGTACTGGGACGCTGCTCGGACAGAGAAGTAGTGTATTTTTTAGTCTTGGGCATTCATTTCAAATGTGGGGAATAACCACTGCCTGAAATGCCGCTTCAGCTCCCGCGTCAGCTCCCGCAACGCAAATAGCAGAAACGAAGACAAAAATGAAAGAACGCTTCACAAGTGCCCGCATGGTGAAGGGTACCAGGACGTTTCACCGCTTTGTACTGCTCGACTCCAATACCATAGCAGCCTTCAAACTGTCCGAGTCTTCTGAGACTCGTTCTTCACAGCGCGTGTGTCACTGGGGTTTGTTTGAAAGAACTTCCTCGAACAAGGTGTATGAATGTGTGTGTTTTTGCGAGTGTGTTTATATGGGTATGTGTGCATTTTATCTCTGCTTTTTGAATAAAAAAGACGTTTTATGACGTTTTGTTTCCTTTTTTATTGTGTGCTGATCACTGGGCTTACCAAACAAATTAAATACGCCACCTTCAAAGAACACAATGCTGTGTTAGGTCACTGACCTAATGTGACCTTGACCCGGCCCATACCTACTCAAAAACACCACCAATGTATTCTCCGTGAAGTAAGCTTTCATATGACACCCATATTGCCTATGATTCTCGACGTTCTCGGCAGATGTCATTTTCATGTCAGGTCATGACCACATTGTTGACCTCAGTTTGAGGTCAACGGGTCCGATATACCAACCAAATCACATACCACTATTAAGAGCATGGATAAGACATCTCTGATAGAAAAAATCAGAATTTTTAAAATAGGACAAATTTGAAAGGTCACGGGGTCAAGAAAAGGTCTCGAGGTCAAAGGGTCAAAAAATGACCTTGGGGTTTCGTTCACATTTTTGCTAGACGCACCAGCCTTTGCGCTTCTTATATCATATATAACTTTTTTTGATCCGGTGAACCGTTGCAGAGATAAAAAATACTTTATATTTCAATGTTCCGGAAAACCTAAAAATTTGCATGACCCATATCTCATGACCCCTGTGACCTAGAGACTAAAAATTTACTGTGACGAAGTAGTGCCCATAGGTCAACTTGCATGCCAAATTTGAGCAAAATCGGAGAGGTCATGGTGAACATGCCTAGGTGATCTGTCATGGAATTGCCCAGATGGCACAGGGGAATGCAGTCTATGTTTCGGGGACCTCAGCCAAATATCTGGAAATTCGTACGGTGCTTGGGGCAAGAACAAATTTTACAACATGGGGAACTGATCCAAATTCAAGCGGGACAATTTTGCGAAAAAAAGCAAAAGCAATATTGATCTCTGAACATACGTTTGGTCACCATTATTGACAAAGAGCAGGGTGGGGTGGGGTGGGGGTGGGGGGTGAAATTGAACCGTTGGAATTTTCGACAAATGTAGCATTAAATTTGGAGCTCAATGTCTGACCTTTGAACGCGCGACATCCGCCATCCAGTTCCGGATAACCATGAGAAATTCCGGAAACATTCGTACGCATACGCTCGCGTGAAAGAAAAAAATCCACCGTTACAGGACGATGAAATGTTTCGCTGAACTGACAGCCGCTCAAATTGCAGTCGACGAAATAGATGTCGCTGAAACATAGCTTTCGCTAAAATTGATAATCGCTATATTTGATAATCGATGAACTTGATAATCGCTGAATTGCCAGTCGCTGAAAATGGTTCGCTCAAATGACGTTCGCTCAAATGACACTCGCTAAAGTCGCTCGCACCGATCCCTGTGAATCCGTGTCGTCCCCTATACTCCCCTGTCTGACGATTGGTAGCCCCTGTCCATCACAAAGATCACTCGTCTGGCCATGTATGTTCCCTATCTGTCCCATATCCCCGTCTGACCTATGTGACCCCTGTTTGACGTTCCGTCACTTTTCCCCAGGAATGATTGTCTGCTGCTGTCGGTGCGCTGGACGCTGCGGGGGCCGAACAGACCCCTACGAAAAGAAACGGGACAAATGCAAACGGATATGTAACGGCGTGTTCCTGAGTCTGCTGGTTCTGCTAGTGCTGTGAGTATGACGTCACTGGAACGTGCTTTTAACGTCACCGGAGCATGAGTACAACGGCATGCGCCTTTTGTGGATATCAGCTTTACGAGTCGGTTAGTTAGGTTTTTAGGGTCGGGTTGAGTTTGCGTTGGTTAAGGTTATAGGGTTTTAGGAGCTACGGCGCATGTCAAGTAGCTATGGAGCTGTGATACTCGCTTTTCACCAGGATTTATGTCGAAGATAGTTGTATGTATTTCATGTTCCGATGCATGAACGAATTTCTGTTGTAATTTCGTCGAATTTCTACCATATGATAAGCTAACATTTCCATAACAAGCGTACATCCATTTGTTTGTTTTTGTCTCATTACGTAGCAGATTCTTTGCATAAAACAGAAATCCTTCCCCTGCCGACCGTGAAGAAAATGAATTATTCAAATTCGATAAACGGAGGAATGTTGTTTACGATCAACCGCCACTTTGAACACTGGCTTCCACAAAGGATTACATCTCTGATGCTGTATTTTTGCTTCCGGGCCATTGCAAATGCGAGTGACTTCTTCGCAGTCCTATAGTTTGCATGTGTTTTATTTCGTTTCATATATCTGCCGAGATCGTTGATGGAAGGCCATATTGAGAGACGGAGTCATCATGTAAAATCTTCAACAGGTCGTAACTCTCGTCATAACTTTGAGCCAGTTGAATATATTGAGAAATGGGGTCAAGTAGCGTGCGTCTCAACCAAGTATGAGAGGTCTCGGATGCGGATAAGCCCATGATAAGCTAGCATCTATCGAGATCACTTTGTCTCATTTGAATTTACGTGAGTCATGTGTCAAGTTTCATCTTCGAGATAAATTTTACTGCGCGATAATCACGATCTCAGGCATGCACGCGCTCACACGCTCGCCGAGGCTTCTCTGCCCCGTTGAATTGACTCACCCTGACCCGCCGTGACCTGACCTTACCTGAACTGACACTGACCTTATTTGACCTTTCCAGGTTCGGTCTGGTGGCGTCGTTCGTTGTGAACGAGTACATTGAACAGGGTGTGAAGGAGGTTCCGTCCCGGCTGAACCTGGCTGTGGACGACGTGGAACTCTATGCCCAGAACACCAAGAAGGTGGGTTAATCATGAACACGGGTGTAAACACACACTTGTAGACGCAGACCTGGGCTGTGGTACTAGTTAGGACATACAGTTTACACTAAGTTAAAGGCTCGTTACCATTTGAAGGCAAAGTTTGGATGAAGTTTGATTAGATCGGGGACTTAAATCATGTATTTCTCAGGTGTGTTTTATGTATCTCTATGTATTGCTTGTAAGCATATCACACCGCTCGTCTTTGACACAAGCACTGATCACTTGTCTAACCTTTTCACACATTGACGTTGACACAACCGCAGCGCCTCCACCTCCACTCTTTTTACGGGTCTGCCGTCATAAATTTCACTCGTCCACCAAACCATGGACACTTGTTGGGAATGGTGGCAAAACTGCTCTTAGCTTCGGGTCGCTTGGCTGATGATGACATTGAAGAGCTCTCTGGGGTACTCGGACGGTGTTCTTATGGCTTGTTCACGTATTGTTGAGTTGAGTTATCTGTAGTAAAGGACAGTCCTGACTCCTGGTTAACGACTGGCTTCTCACAGAAGTGTCACTCCTTAGATATACTAATAGTCTACCACAGTGCTGATGTTTCTGACAAGCTTAGTGAAGATTATCAATAGACAGATGTGATATATTATAGTGCATGTATGGCCTAAACTTTTGAATTTATTTTAAAAGTGGAAAGTGGAAAGTGGAATTTATTTTTTCTTGCGTTTTTTCCACTTTTAAAATAAATTCAAAAGTTTAGGCCATACATGCACTATAATAAGCTTAGTGAAGTTATCGGCTCTTCCTTTCATATCCAAACCATCCATATTCGCCCATTATCGCTGTTCTATCAAACCTTCGAGTAGCCAGCGCCAGACTCCTATCAATATGGATTTTCATCCACCACTCCAGCCAGTTCTGCAGTATTTAGTAGCCTCATAATGGGTCCAGCTGTCGGTGGTACTCAGTCTAATGGGTCTCTGTCCTTTGCCAACGTATGCAACCATCGACCGTCGCGTAATTATCGCCGCCCATGAGACATAATTGTCCACCGTGCGCCGCAGTTTGATCAATATGGCGCTCTCTAGGGGTGTTGCGTAGGTTTAGACGTGCTTTTTGTGAGGTATCCATGACACTATGACAGGTGGAACGAACGTAAGAAAAGTATTACGTTTGTTTGTAATACGGGCGTTAATATCCACCCAAACGTGATAGGTATAAATCCAAAATTGTGCGGCATTGTCATGTTTTATTACCTTTTTTCATCTTGTTTGAATACTTATACAGTATACGGAAAACGGGCTAACAAATAGAAATATATATGTTGCGGGCCAAGTGCGAAGGCTAGTCCATTCGCGAATGGCCTAGTCCAAGTGCGATAACGCACTTGGACTAGGCCGTTTGCGAATGGACTAGTCCATGTGCGTTATTGCAGTTGGCCTAGGCCGTTTGCGAATGGACGGGCGTTTATGCTCCCAGTCCAAGTGCGAAGTCAGGCCAAGTGCGAAATATCCAGCAAAGTGACGTCAACTTGGCAAGTCAACTTGGCATGTGCAAAGTCCCGTGTGAAATGATGCGTGCAAAGTATTGGTAACTCAACCGGCGTCACTTAACCTGGCCTGGTGACCTGACCTTAGGTCATCTGGAGTCAGCATTTTCACACAATGTGCGCAGAATATGGGAGAAAAGGTATACAAAATTTGGCTTTGCTGCGCGCCGCCGTTTTCTCGTGCTCTGTGAAAAACCACAGGGGGGTTGAAAGCAACCCCCCCTGCAGTGCGCGTATTGTTAAATGCAATGCAACACAACAGTTTTTCGAACACTCACCGCACCGCACTCACCACACACAAGCCGCACCGTCCCGGTACACCACACCAGAGCAGAATGAATCGAGCGCCACAAACTCGACCAAGGTCAGGTCGGGTCATCAGCGGGGAGCCCGGAGCACGGTACTAATGGTCTCCGCACACCACGCGACTCTCAGCTGTTCGAAGGTCACGGGGATATTTGACCTCCCCAGATCCAGATCGGTGGCCGAAGCCTGGCCAGCGGCAACACGTTGCTATAATTTCCGCGTTGTGCAGGGTTCAGCGGAAAGTCGCATCCCGAATGGACCAGGTGTGTGGAGACCTTAACCCAGAGTTGCGCCAGCTCGCAGATCTACTCCGGAGAACAAACTAAACATATAGAAGCAGTGGCGTCGCCACGGATTTTCGACTAGGGGATCTGGTCGGACGGTCAGTCAAAGTAATCCCCACCAAATACTGAAAACTCCTGGGATTTAGACAATTTTATTTTGAGAATGCACCAAAATCGTTTTTAAAATATTTTATTTTATTATTGATCGATTTTCGTGGCCAAAAGTGTGTGTGTGGGGGGGGGGGAGGGGCCGGGGGGCGTCGGACCGGCATATTTTCAAGAATGTGTGTGTGTGGGGGGGGGGGGGTCCGGACCCCTCCGCCTCCCCCCCCCCCCCCCGTCGGCGACGCCCCTGCATCGACCAGCGGTCCCCCATTCATTCGGAATCGTACCCCAATCCGAGGATCCATGCTTCCGGCGGCTAAGTGCAACGCCACAAACCCGTCCGTTCGCAAAAGGCCTAGGCCATTCGCGAATGGCCGGCCATTCGCAAACGGACTAGTCCGTTTGCGAACGGACCGCCATTCGCAAACGGCCTAGTCCATTCGCGAATGGACTAGTCCGTTCGCAAACGGACTAGCCTTCGCACTTGGCCCGTAACATATACATAAACCTAATTCTATTAACCCTCGCCCTGGCAGGGGGAGGGGGTCGATGCGACCCCCCCCCCTAAGGTTTTTCGAAGATAGCGTGCGCCGCCAAATTTGGCACAGCCTATGGGGCAACCTTTTTACATATGACCTGAAAATTTCAGGTCCGGGTGACCTTGGGTCAGGTCACCAGGTCAGAAAAACCGGTACAAGGTCATGGTCAAATTTCAATTTTCTTTTTGCACCTGGTTTCGTGATAATATAGTCTCGCGTTGTGTATATTTAATCATTTAACTTAGTCATTAATCTTACGGTAGTAGGTCTCACAAATCTTAAATCAATCATGAATCATAAATGCAAAATCTTAGCTTTATATTCTTCGATCCTTTGATTCACACTTAATTCACAACATTTCATTCCAAGTTCCCCCATTTCCTCCTCATCTTCGACTTAATCTTGATCTTCGACTTGGCCTCATTTTTGGCTTAAGTCTTTTTTCTTGCGGAGGACGGCTCGCGCTATAGAGGCAAGAGTACCGCTAAATGCTCGTAAACATTCTCCCCCACCTTGACCTTCTGCACCATGAAGGTCAATATACACAATGAATAGGCACAGTTGCAACTTGCAAGTTCACTCGATCACACCGCATTGCAGTTCGATAGTGTCGACGCCACAGTATGTTTAAGCCGTCCGTTTCACGGGCAGCCTGTTACGCCGGGGCAGATTCTAGATGCACCAGCTTCACCACGGGTCTGGTGTAGACCTTCCCTTTGCATTGGACATCTACCACCCTCACATGTCCATCAGCTCCAGGGTGCACCTTGATCACTCTGGCCAGCGGCCACTGACCCCTGGTGACCGATGACTCTGCCATCAGTACCACGTCCCCTACTGCCAGGTCTTCATGGGACGTCCTCCACTTTGTACGAGCTTGTAGCGAAAGCACATATTCTCGTTGCCATCTTTTCCAAAACGCTGCGACCAACTGTTGAACCAGACGCCACCTCTTCAAGTGACCTCTCGCGCCCTCGAGCCCGGCATCCGCTTGCAGCTGAATATTTCCCACCAAGAAGTGTGCAGGAGTCAGAGGCGGCTGATCAGTCGGGTCGGCTGACAGCGGAGTCAGCGGACGCGAGTTCAGAAGAGCCTCAGCGCGACATAAGGCGGACTGTAGCTCTTCATCGGTGATGCTTGTGGTCCGCAGAGTGCTGTACATAGCACGTTTCACGGACTTGATGAGGGATTCATAAACTCCTCCAAAATGAGGCGCAGCGGGAGGGTTGAAGTGCCAGCGGATACCTCTCGTGACTCCTTGCTTGTGGATTTTACGCCTGTCCAGAGCATCTGACGTTTTCTTCAGCTCTTTTTCGGCACTGACAAAGTTCCGGCCATTGTCACTCCAGATGTCCTCAGGAACACCCCTTCTTGAGGTGAATCTGTCCAAGGTGCACAAAAACGAGTCGGTGTCTAAACCATACGCCATTTCCAGGTGCACTGCTCTAGTTTGAAAGCAGGTGAAAAGACAGATGTATCGCTTTGTCTTCACTCTTCCTCTTTCGTTTTTTGTTTCCACTGGCCCAGCGAAGTCTACACCGCAGTGGGAAAATGCTCTGTACGTCGGCTTCAGCTGCTCTTTCTTTATCGGGGCCATTATTTGCGCTCCAGTCTTCTCGCGCCTTCGTTTGCACTCAGGACACGTCCGAATGCATCTCTTGATTTCTTCTCTTGCGCTGACCAACCAAAATGTCTGCCTCAGCTCGGCCAGATTGTGTTCTACCCCGAGCTCGTGGTCGAACTTATCGTGGATATGTCGCACGATGAGCGCAGACACTGCATGCCTCTTCGGGAGAACGTAGGGATGTCTTGTGTTGTACGGTAGATCTGCATGGCCTATTCTACCTCCCACTCGTATGAGACCATTTTCGTCTATGAACGGGTTCAATCTTTGTAGGCGGCTTTCTTTTCCTCTTCCATCTCGCCGCTTCTTAGCGCGCCCTTGCGTGGTTTCTTCGTTCCTGTGGATTTCGAGCCAGCGACGTTCATCCTCGAAAGCATCTGTCTGTGCTAAACGCACCCAAAATACTTCAGCTGCGGTCACTTCTTCAACAGTCAGCTCGAACATGCTGGAAAGGCTGCTTTGTCCTCCACGTTTTCTGTTGTTCTTCTTCGGCCTGCACTGTTTTTCTGCTTCGAACTTGTGCCGATCCTTTCCTTTTTTCACCCTTTCTCTCAGAATTTGAATGAATCTTTGGATCCAGGCTGTCACTCTGACCAGTCTTGTCCAGCTGGAATATC